GAGGCGCGAGGCCCTTCGGACCGCGAGGCATAGGCGGTGGCCCACGTCGTCCATGCCTTACGCCGCCCTTAGTCATAGAAATGATGTAATTTGAATATAAATTATTTATAAATATGTATGTCAAGTTATATTTTTATTACTACGTAAAATATATTTAAGAGTTTATGACCACTGTGCTGGGTGAGACGTTGTTGAAACAAAAAAAGTTATGCGTTCAATCACGTACATAAACAGTGTCGTAATTCGCCAAATGAAAATCAGCAAATTCGTAAAATTTTTGTTTATTTTGAACAATCCGGATAATCGAAAATCCGAATAAGGGAGGTTCGGATAATGGAGGTTCTACGAATTCTATTTCTTATTTTACATAATTTATTTTTCATTGTTGGCACTAAAATGATTTGTTTTTCTTTAAGTTTTTTTAGCACATTTTTCAAAAATTTTATTAATATATGGAAAAGCAAAATAACTTACTTTTTATTTTTGGTTTTTAACATTATATTGGTAGTTAAAATATTCTGTCTGTCATTTTTTAATAAATTAAATGGGTAATAATTTAATATAAATTTATTTCTCACTTTATTGATATCTTCATTCTTATCTTCTTCATAGCCTATGTAGTTCTTGTATAGATTTTTTTGTAATTTCATTTTATATGTATTCTTCTTTACTATTTTATTTCTACATGATATTGAAAATTTTAAAACTTAACAAATATCTTTTTTTAACATCACAATAAAATTTAACAGAATATCAATCTGTAATATATTTTCTAATTTAATTATTTATTTGGGTGTTGCTACTTTTATTTCTCACATACTCAAGGTTTCTCACTGTGTGCATGGTTCAAAACTAAATCTTGTAAATGATAACAGTTTAGAATAATAGCAGAAATTTTGATATAGATACAACTATTCATGCCATATATTTATGGATTTCAGAAGTGTTAGCATTTAACTAAACCATTCAATTAAATTTATTTGATGCTGTTGTACAACTTTATAATTGTAACAACAGCATTAAATAAATTTAATAACTTATATTTCAAATTTTATGAAATGAATTTATATTATAGATTTAATTCTTAGTGTGATATTCTTACTTAATAGCTGATGTTTCTGTTTAAGTACATTTTATTTCTTTATACTGTGAATATTTTAGCATTATTATTGCTCTAATTATACAGTGGAGTATTCTTTATGTTTCACGTTTATGCCTTTCTGTCATTTATATGTTGTTTTATGTTGATTCCAAAACACTCCTATTTCTTGAAAGTTATTCAGTAATTTTGAAATTAATTTATTGGATGGTTTATATAGCAACATCATCTTGTTTTAAGATTTATTATGTTAAAAATGACTGTTACCATAGCTTTTGTAATTTAAATACTTGTATTTATTATCTACTTATTATCAAGGAAATTACTGTTAATCAGTTAAATCACTTGTAGCTACTGCTGCTTCAAAGGAAGTTGTGCAGAAAAAGTATTACTACTATTTTTTTTTTACAAAAATCTAAAGTAAGAGAAGAACATTAAAACATTCATTTAAATTATAATACTATAAATTTATCATAAAAATTGTTCTTGCAAGCCTGTGGTGATAATACTATAAATTTATCATAAAAATTGTTCTTGCAATCACAAAAATTCTTGCAAGACTCTTGACTTGCATTTTAATGTTCAGTCATTTTAATCTCCAGTCTCTTGAGAGATGTATAAATGGTGCTCCATTATACAAACTTTTTACTGTTAAGCTTACATATTAGAAGAATCAAAGAGATTCTTATACTCCAAGATTAAAAACAAATAACTATAAATTGAAAAAAATGTATGAATAGTCACATTAATTTGATCAGTAAATTAAAAATAAATTCATTATAATTGTATAAATGAAATTTAAGAAAACTTTGAGTATTTATTTGAAGTGAATGTTTTACAATTTGTATATTATTATTATTATTATTTGTAACTCTTAATTGTAATGATGTTTTTTTTTATAGGATTGTGCATGGTTAGATATAATTAATGACAAAAGGAGGTCTGATAATACCCCTGAAGTTCCAGCAGATGTATTTGAACTTTTAATGGATAGATTGGAAAAAGAATCTTATTTTCAAAGTCAAACAACAGGAAAAGATCCAAATCCATCCATTGACGAAGATGCAGTATGTTGTATATGTAATGATGGGGAGTGTCAGAATTCTAATGCCATTTTATTTTGTGATATGTGTAATTTAGCTGTTCATCAGGTGAGTTTTTTTTATTGTTTTTAAAATATATATAAATAAAAAATTAAGTCAAATTCCATTTATGTTTCTCAGTTGTACATTTTTTGCAGTTACATGTTAAAATGTACTTTCTCTTTTGTTATATGTTTTTTATTTATATGATTTTTCACTTACGCCATATCTTTTGGTACCCTACGGCATTTTTTCTCTCTTGTGCATTATTCATTTTGAAATGGAAAAATTTAAAGTGATTGTTTAAAAAAGTGAAGAAATGAATTTGTACAATTCAGTTGTTTTTGAACTTTTATGAACTTATCCTTGGAATGTTTAAATTCAGTTTGTAAGAAATTGCTTTTGAACTTGTTTGAAATTGAGTGATGAGTTTGTTTACACTTATAAACAAACTCATCACTTAATAGTCCTCATTACTTCTAGTAATGAAAACAATTATTATTAAGTTAAAATCTGTTAAATTCTTTATAATTGTTTAAGTTAAAACCTGCATTGTTAGAAGAAGTAAACTCATGAATGAAGCTTGATGGAAATAATTTTATTTAATAATTTGTATGTATGAGATGAAAAAAAATGATACTTTACATTTTAATAATAATAACTTATATTAAAATTTTTAAAAAATTTTTGTTTGATTTAAAAATTATGATATGAATTGAAACTGAAGCAAAGAATTGCTTGGAGGTTTGGGTGACGTAACTGGCATTGCACCATACCACATGGTAAGCGGAGGTTGTGGGTTCAAGTCCCACTCTGGGCTAGTTATCATCTTCCAGATGGTTTTAAATTATTTAATAAATTATTAAAAATTATAATTATTACTTTAGATAAGAGATGGCACCTAACGTCTACTTCAAATACCAAATTAGTTAATATCTAATCATTAATAATAGAATATTTATAGCCTGATTAATTACAGTGATCACTTGGTTAATTATGAGACAGTTTGAGAAAAATTCTTTTACATAAATGAGATAATAGAATTTTGAAATAAATAATGCATTCATTGTTGAAATATTTAGATTTCATTTGTTCAAGAACAATAAAATACTCAATTCAAGACATTTTATTTGTATTATTAACACTTTATGCATTAATAAATGTAGTTTGTTTTTGCTTACTCTCTGAAATTCACTGATGTTGTCCAGAAATTCAAATGCTTAATTGAACAGTTAAATTAGCTACTAAGAAATGCTTTCCCAATGGTTGATTTGCTCACTTCTAAATGTTACGTCGTCCATGCCTTACGCCGCCCTTAGTCATAGAAATGATGTAATTTGAATATAAATTATTTATAAATATGTATGTCAAGTTATATTTTTATTACTACGTAAAATATATTTAAGAGTTTATGGCCACTGTGCTGGGTGAGACGTTGTTAAACAAAAAAAAAGTTATGCATTTCATCACGTACCTAAACAGTATCGTAATTCGCCAAGTGCAAATCAGCAAATTTGTAAAATTTTTGTTTATNAATCACTCTGTTTATTTTTTAATCACAATAAACCTCTTTACAATTGTTATATTTTTAAAATTTTGCCACAAAGGTTAATATTTTTACATAGAATCAGACTATAATTGTTTTTTAAAATAAATTTATCAAAAGTCCATTTATTTATTATATCAACTAGTTGGAGAAATCCATCAGCAACTAAATGAAAAAAGTAACTGTTTAGGAACTGTTTAGTAACTATTTAGTAACTGATGTAACTGTTTAGGAAATAATGCATACAAGTTAACATAAAATTTTTTATTGTTACAAAATTTATAAAAATTTTTTAACTTACATTATTATGAGAAGCACAGAAATGGTGACGATTGATAAAATATGGATAACAATTATTAATTTACAGGTATTTGTTATAACATAGATGTAAAAGTTATGAACTTACATTAGATATGATGGTATGATACATAAAATAGTATTAGGAGTGAGAGGCAAATGCATAATAAAGTACAATGCTAAAACCATAACATTTAAAACCATGACATTGCAAACTGTTTTACCATTAAAACAATAAAATAGAATAATGAAGTAAAAAACCTGTTCATTGTTAAAACAATAAGAGTATAAACTTATTTACGGTAGATTTATAACACAATGAAATGATTCACAGAAATAGCAAGATATTTGCCACCATTTTCCTTTTTATTTAAACACACTCCCTTTCCCTTCACAGGGGCTCTCTCTTGGTCAAATATGGATACCAAGTTTCATATAATTTTTGACCAGTATTATTATTCATAATTTTGTCTTTGTTTTTTAGTATTTCTAAATGTTCATACTGTCTCCTTTTTTTGTGTATTAGATCCTTTTTTTAATAATTTTTATGGTATCCTTAATAATTTGGCAACCTTCACTGTTACAATGAACTGCAACAGCTGAACTACTATTATTATATTTAATTGCAGATATATGTTCTTTAAACTGAACCTTCAAATCTCTGCGAGTTTCACCTATATAAAATTTAGGTACAGTGCAGCTACAACTGAATTTGTAAATTACATTTTTCTAGTCCCATATATTATTATCATTGTCATGAGCACTAATCTTTCTATTTAAACTAGGGATTTTTCGGGCACTAAAATTATACGATATCTGTTTGATTTAAATTTGATTCTTTCATTTGATTTGTTCGTTAAAGATTTATTGTATTTTCTTTTCCCTTTTTGCAATTTTGTAACCACACACTTTGTAGCTGCAAAATTGTCATGTATGTTAATTTTACAAGAGAGAGAGAGATTTTAATAACTATGCCACATATCTCTGTGTGTTAAAATTACACTATGAGTGCAATTTTAAAGAAAGTGGGAAGTAATATGAGGATCCAGAGACTAGGTTTCTAGTTTTTAAGTAAAATTGCATTTTAGAAACCTTACTTTTCCCAATCAATTTCCACAGAGTAAAAAATGGGACGTATCAGATGTTAACTTAACTGTCGACAAGTCCTTTTTTCCCCTTTTTGCCTCAACCTGTGAAAATAATGAAAGTATGCTATAACAGTTGACTGTCAAATGTGAGAAAGTTCATGATTAACATAGTGTAGGGAGTATAAACAATTGTGTCATTGCTACCAAACAAACAGTCACCAGATCAGATTCCCACATTAAGGACATATAACAAGACCACATCAGACAATTGTCGGAAATTTGCTTTTTGATCAGAAAACTGACTTCCTCAAGTATAATTTCTATGAGCTCGATCGTTTCTACTTAGCTCATCTAATTGTCCTTGCAACTCATTTAGGGTAATACATAATTCTTCTTATCTCATCTTTAGACGGGTTTGCATGTATACTTTCCTCCTTAATTATTCTAATTTGGTTATGGGACCTTGTGGTAAGCCTTTCTATTGTTTCTATACTAATCACGGCATTTAGAGCCTCATCAAATGTGGCCAGTTCATGCGACATCACCCTCTGTCGGATTTTAATATTTGGCCATTCAAAAATTGGACCCTAAGCCTCACATGTAACTCAATTTTGGATTCTTCGAATGATTGCTGTTTCTGCTGCGTCTGATCCGACCTGCTCTATTTCAATTTCAGGGACAAGAGACTGAAGCCTGATCTCATAGGTCTGAACATCATATTCACGTTGTTGAATGCATGCATGGAACCTGTTTATCCTAAAAGAATATGGGACTCTGTCAAATCTCCCGAACATTAAGTTCTTGAAGATATAATAGTCATGTATGTCCTTCATCTTTTGGTCTTTTTTTTGCAAATTCCCTGGCTATTCCTGTTGATTTTAATTTAGCTATTGCTAGCATCTGTTCCTTAGTCCATGATGCTACTTTCGCTACATCCATTAGAAATTCAAAGAAAAACTTGTCTAACACGGACAAAACTTGTCTCAGGCAGAAACCTGTCTATGATGGATACTCTTATTGATCGAAATCCCTGGAAGGGGCTTCTCTCCCTCACTCTTGACACCAATATGTGAGATGCTGGGGGTAGAGTGTCAAACACTGAACCCCTTTTAACGGCAGCGGATCAGCGAGATCCACTCACATTATCACTGGATGGCTTGTAATAGGAGGCCTAATTGTTTTGAGTGGGGAGGTCATATTAGGTAAGTCGATAGTGTCTTTGTGCGCCGAAATAAGTCCACATGGTATCAGGTTAACAACTAAATAACAGTTTAATGAGTTAACTAAAAGCATACAAGAAACAGATACACCAAAAAGCAGACAAGCATAGTAACATCTATTTATCTAAATCTACATTTGGTCCCAAGTGATAACGGGGGACTACCTAGATAAGTCCGCGTCTACCAACAGAGTGTGTGTACATAATTATACCTTAGTTGAATGTGTTTGATGAGCTGATGTCTTCGGGTTTAATTGAAGTTAAATCGGTATCTAGTGTGAGCCTTCTATGTTTCACTTAGTATAGGGTGAGGCAGAAGTAGTTTATATCTGTCGTTTTTGAACTTGCTGCCTTCAATATGGAGGGATGAGCCGTAAGTTGACTTCTAAGTATGATTGCACTAAGTATGTCAGCTTTTAAAGTTGTCCGCTCGATCGTCTGGTGTGGTCTTGTTATATCTGTCCTTAGTGTGGGAATCTGATCAGGTGACCATTTGTTTAGTAGAATGACACAATTGTTTGTTAGCAATTGTTTATAGATTTCCTCTCTAGACTACGTNTGATGTCTTCGGGTTTAATTGAAGTTAAATCGGTATCTAGTGTGAGCCTTCTATGTTTCACTTAGTATAGGGTGAGGCAGAAGTAGTTTATATCTGTCGTTTTTGAACTTGCTGCCTTCAATATGGAGGGATGAGCCGTAAGTTGACTTCTAAGTATGATTGCACTAAGTATGTCAGCTTTTAAAGTTGTCCGCTCGATCGTCTGGTGTGGTCTTGTTATATCTGTCCTTAGTGTGGGAATCTGATCAGGTGACCATTTGTTTAGTAGAATGACACAATTGTTTGTTAGCAATTGTTTATAGATTTCCTCTCTAGACTACGTTAATCATCAACTTTCACATTTGACAGTGGACTGTTATAACATATTTTTGTTATTTTCGTGGGTCGAGTCAAAAAGGGGAGAAAGGACTTGTTGACAGTTAAGTTAATATCCAATAGCTCTCATTATTTTATTCTGGGAACTGATTGGGGAAAGCAAGGTTTCTAAAATGCAAGTTTCTTTAAAAACTAGAAACCTAGTCTCTGGATCCTCTCAATTATTTAATAAAAATTTATGATAAATTATTGATCAAAGACTGACTTCAATGCCACCTTATGAGTGGCAAGAGAATTTCAGAATCTGTGCAAAATTTAAATTTTACACATATGATCATATTGTTTGTAAGTAAGGGAGTGCTTATAGATTATGAATAGAAAAATTAATTCAGGATTTTCTTAGATGGAATATTTTTAGAAAAGAACTATCATGTATTCTTGCAGTAAAAATGTTTTATATTCAATAGAATATATTGAAAAATTATAAACTATAAAAGTGTTTCTTAAAAGTTTTGTAAAGAAATATATTGAAATTAATATGCATGAACTGATAAAAAAACAAATAAATGCAATGTATATTATTTTAAAAAATCCTGTTTTAATACAAAAATAGTTATATAATCTTTATAGTTTCCTATGCATAAAGTTATAAAATTATTTCTTGTTAACCTTGTATAAAAGTGTATTTTCTATTTAATTTCTGTGAGTTTTACATTTATAGTATCTTATTACTTATTGCTCTTTTATCAGTCCAAAATTATTGAAATGAAACTAATTTTTAAGATGACTACTATATAACATTGTTTAAAAATTAATAATTAACTTAAAAATAATTTTAAAAAATTGTCTAATAAAAGAAATTTAAGAAATAAACTTGTTTATTTACAGGAATGTTATGGTGTCCCATATATTCCTGAGGGACAATGGCTTTGTCGTCGTTGTCTACAGTCTCCATCACGTGCTGTTGATTGTGTTCTTTGTCCTAATAAAGGGGGAGCATTTAAACAAACAGATGATGGTCGATGGGCTCATGTGGTGTGTGCCTTCTGGATACCTGAAGTGTGTTTTGCCAACACTGTTTTTTTAGAACCTATAGATAGTATAGAAAACATTCCACCTGCACGCTGGAAATTAACATGTTATATCTGCAAACAAAGAAGTGTAGGAGCTTGTATTCAGTGCCATAAAGCAAATTGTTATACAGGTAATTAAATCATATAAATTTGTGATAGAATTTTTATTAGATTTAATACAGTGTGTTGTTATATTATAATTAAAATTTATTTAGTTTATTCAAAATGATCAGTAANAAACAAAGAAGTGTAGGAGCTTGTATTCAGTGCCATAAAGCAAATTGTTATACAGGTAATTAAATCATATAAATTTGTGATAGAATTTTTATTAGCTTTAATACAGTGTGTTGTTATATTATAATTAAAATTTATTTAGTTTATTCAAAATGATCAGTAATATCACTATTTTTGCATAAAGATGTGATATTTTTATTATTAAAAATTTTTAATGTATCTCAAAATGTAAATACTTTGGGCATAAAAGAGGTATATAATAAATTTGGTTTGGTTTAAAAATAAGCAGTAGAAATAAACAGTGCATGAAAGAGGAAAAATAGCTTTCAGAGTAACAAGATGATATACAGGGAAAATTACTTGGAAACTTTCTTCTTTTCTGGAAAACCATGGAAGGCAGCAGTTTATTACAAACCAGAATTGAAAGATAAATTGGATATTTAAAAATTTTTCTTGCCACACTATAAGACTACATGGACTCTGCAGGTGTCTGGTGTTCTTACACATATCCAAACAGCAATCAATTTCCTGCCATATTTTTTTCAGTTTATCAGGTTTTACAGATTCAAGAGCTACTATGGGATATGTAAGTGATCTTATACATACTGCTTAATTCTCAAGGGATGTATTTCTACATTAAAGCAATACTCCATAGCAGCTCTTGATTCATTAACACTCAATGTCTGACTGAAAATTTCTTTCTTGGCATTTTGCCACTTTTGCTAATCAGCTGAGAAGACTTCTCTGCATCTCGTGAGTGTGCAGATTTGTTCTTCTTGGTTTTTCTTTTTCTTCATTTATTTTTTTTAGCCTCACCTTTCCGTTAGAGATCATCTGTCTTTTTTTAAAAATGTTAGATTTCTGAAGTAATTTCTCATGGGAGTGCACAATGGACCTTTTTATGTGAATTGAATTTTACTTAAAAGAAACTATTTGCACAATAACAATAAGAACACCAATGTTCTGAAAAAAGTATGACATGAATTTGACTATCATTTGGGTATTATTGAATCACAGGGCACCTATGCAGAGTTCTTTTAGTTTTTGTAATGCATAAATAAAACTTTCAGAGTTTCTCTTTCTATCCTACAGTTAAAGATCTTCTAACCCTGCTACTGCATTGTCATTGAGTTGGACAGTGCTTTCAAATGAGACAACTCATACTAAACACAATAATGCTTCATTTATCCCTGGAATGGATGTGTAAAACTAACAAAAAAGAAATCTAACAAATGTGAGTTGGTGCATGACATCTCAAAGACATTGATTTTTAGATTTAAAAAAAAAACACATTTTGATATCCAGCTGTAGTTTAATACTAAAAAACATTTTCAACCTATTCATAGGTCTTCCTCACTTAGGACTAATTAATTGAATACTTGTTCTATTTTAATCTAAAAACACTAAAATACAAATTTACAAATTTAAACAAACATAATATAAAATTTAAATAAAGAAAATATATCTTGATAATTAAATTTAAATTTTAATTATTGATGAAACACAAATACATATATTAATTATTTTTATTATTGATTTATTTAAGTGTCAAAGTTCAAAAATACATTTACACACCATAGACTGTCCACATACCTAAAATTAATACGCATTTGTTTTCTGTGAACTTTAAATATTTCTATCATTTCCAAGTATTGGAGGTTGTTAAGATTTCTATGCGGTCAGATTATTGCTGCATTCTCCCATGCAACTCTTATGTTTTGCTCTCTGATATAGTTGGCTAAGACTATGCTGTTCATGTTCCTGTTAATTGTATACAGATTATACAGATGTTACTTAAGTCTTTCTTTCAAGCTCCTTGCTGTAGCTCCCACATATGAAAGTTTACATAGAAAATGTTGATCTTCCAGAGGAATGGAGGGTGGTGGAACAGTTTTCTTTTGGTTTATTATTTCTAAGTACAGTGGAACCTCGGTATATGATAATCTGTTCCTGATGTTTGGACTTATACCGAATAGGACGTATACCAAACCAACCTTTCCCATAAGAAGTAATGTAAAAATGATAAATCTGTTCTCATGTAAAAAAAAAAATGGCTGGCTTTAAACACCTCGCTTTCCTGGCTAGTTCCTGCTTGATTTTTCATGAGATCAGCATGTATATTTTTAGCTTTCTCGCAAATAATTGCTTCTGATACACTGTCACCAGCACACTGTTTTTCAGTTATCCAAAGCAAAAGCAATTTCTCAACATGATCTAATGTCTTCGATCTCTGTTTAGAAATTGAATTAACCCCTTTTGCAACATTAGCAGATTTAATAATGTTTTTATTTTTCACGATTGTCGATATCGTCGTTCTCGGAATACGGTATGCAACAGTCAATCTCGAACACGCGTGCCACGTTCATATTTCTTAACAATCTTTTTTATCAGTTCCATTGTGATTCTAGTCATTTTTTAGTTTTCTGTCGCTTTTCATTTGCCTTTTTGAAATTCATGATTAATAAAAATAATAAAATGTTACTTATAAATTAAAATCAGAAGAAATTTAACAAAGTTATAAACTGTGGCACCGTGAACATCTAGTCTGGTGTAGTACATTGATAGTGCTACTTGTTCATAGAGGGCATGTATAATTGAATTAAGTCGTATACCGAACAAAAGTTGTATACCGAGCAAAATTTGTTTCATCCAAATAGGACGTAATCCGAATTTGACATATTCTAAAGCAGATATATGCCAAGGTATCACTGTATCATAAAAATTATATGATTGCATTTATGTGCTGCTCTTAGGTTGTTTTTCCTGGCAACCTCCTTGTGGATTTTTTTCAAGTATGAGAAAGTAATTTACCACACATCTTAAGATATTCTGTTGTGAAGATTTACTTGTTATTTGAATATATGCCATATTATTTATCTTAAAATTTAAATTTTGATTATCAAGTTTGTTTTCTTTATTTAAATTTTATATGTTTGTTTAAATTTGTAAATTTGTATTTTAACCTGTACCGTGTTATTCTTGAGATACCTTGGGCTGAAGAATAAAAACTCGGACTGTTGGACCGGAGATATCTCATATCTCATTTTTTTTAACACTAGATGTCACTACTTGTACTGAATTTTGAAATCAGTGACTCTCATCACATGAATGGGTATAGCATCTAGCCTCACACAGCAGGTCATTACATTAATATGAGCAAATGTTCAAGGGAAAGTAGATCCTGTAGTGAAAATGGCAGCGGCTGGGAGAAATTACACCTTGAACAAATCAGAAGTGGTTGAGTATTTGTTCAATTTAGGTTCTGGTGAGTCTGAATTATCAGACAGTAAAAATGAATATGTACAAAGTGAGAACGTGAGTAATTTTTAGTTTATACAGAAGCTACCACAGAATATAGCAGTTTTGAAGGTGGGCAAGGTGAGAAAGTTGTTCTTACGTTATTAGAACCAAGAGAAAAACTAACTTCTGAAATATGGTTTTTGTTTTTACATTTTTTAATATGTCTATTTTGTGTGCAAGATAAAAAATAATTTGGAATGATACAATAGCTACAATTATTTTTTTTCTAAAATACATAATTGCATTAGGCTTAAAATTGAAAAAATTTAACGTTAAGTCATATGTATAGGGAAAAAAATTTGACACTTAACAAGTTAATCTCAAAATGCTGTTTATGCATTTGATTCATTAGTCCTAACTGAAGAAGACCTATGAATAAGTCAAAAACATTTTTATAGTATTAAACTGCTGCTGGATATTAAAAGGTGTGTTTCTTTATCTAATTGTCTTATGTCCAGTTTGCCTTGAGAATATTTTAACAAGGTCAGTTTTATTCTAAAATTATGAAATTATTGGCATGGCATCAAAAACTATGATTATATTTTTAATTTCTGCATTTTGTTTTTTTTCTAAAAATGTAAAATACTCGTGGATTGATAGAAATGTATTTTGCTGTTTATTTGAATGTAATTTGATTTGAAAATGCAGAAAAATAAACATATCAAATTTTAACTCGCTGTTAATTATTCAAATTTTCATGGATTCACTTCAGATTTGTTTGTAATTGGAGGTTGATAAGTTGTCTTTCAAGGTCAGGTTAGTAAAACTTTATTACTTTCACAACAGAAAGTGAGTAGAGAAAGGAGTCACACCCATTTCCAAAGTAAACAAACCACAAAATGTTTTATTACTCTATTAAAAAACAAAAAGCTTCCTTCTTAGAAGTTGGTTAAATTAAGATGTTATTGTTTTGTTGTACTTGGGAAAAATTTTGTATTTAAGATTAAACAGTTAGTTCTTTCAAATCTGATTACTCAATTTTATTTTTATATATAGTCATGCAGTTGTTAAAAATCAATTACCTAAATTCAAGAACTAACATTGCTCAAAATATTGCAGAAAGCATCAAAAGTTTTTGCTGATTGGTTTAACCAGGAATAGTTTGTTTAAGAAATGAAACAATCAAAGAAATAATGTGTGGCCCATAAAAAATTTGGTCTTAAACACTTACAAAATGATGTCAAATGCATAAATTAAAAAGCTTTATAACTTAAAACATTTCTCACAATTTAATCAAATAAAGGTATTACTCAAATCTGAATAACACTTGTATAATGAATAAAAATTTTACAAGTTGCAAATTTTGCATTATCAGAATTATTTTTCATGTTTCTCATGACAATGTGATGCAAGAAAAATAACAAACTGTCAAAAATAAACATATTGGTCTATTTGAAATTACAATTACTTTGATTGTTTTGCCTTTGCTATTTGCTTATAGGTGTTGTCAAGTTGTTTGTTATAAGTAACCACTTTGTATGGAATAGTTTCTTTTCGTGTCTAGGTACTGTGTGGGGAACTAGTTACAGTAACTAGACACAACAGTATTGGTTGAAGAATGGTACAAAATTGACATTACCATGTAATGTTTGTGATTTATATTTGTCTATTCCTCAGCTGTATTATTTGCAGAAAAGGTCCTACTTATTGATAAACAAAAAGTGATTTTTGTTAGTGTTTGAATTATTTTGTCCAATCTGCAGATGCTTTATTTAGATTTTTATTGTTTCTCAAGTTTGCTACCTTAGCACAAGGAAAATTGAGGGATCACATTTTAATGATGTTAATTTTATCTCCTTCATATATATATAAAGTTGTTTATTTATTTTTGTTTTAATGATAGGGAATTTTATATTTGGAAGAATGATTTCTAAATTATTGTGATTCTTTCAGTTTCTGGCTTATTTATCTAACCAGCTTATCTCTATATTTTGTTTGCAATTTAACATAGATCATTATTTAAGATGCTATGATCAGCGGCTGGCTGTTATTCATTTCGTTTCTCACTTTATTAATGTTGGAAGATAACATCTGTGCTCTCTGAACCAAACTTTAAAACAGCTTGTCAAATTATACAGATAGATTTCTAACTTACACAGAGTTCTATTTCAGGACTGCTATCATAAGTTGAGCATAAAAAAAATAATGGGGATAATGGGATATGTTTCCTAACATCCTACATAATCCCAAATAATGTAGCCTGTGTCATAGACCCAATTTTTGCAGATTGTCCAGCATGTTGGTCAATCTGGGGAAGATCAAGAAATCAGATATTTCTGTGTGGTAAAAATTGGCATACTTGTTTATCCCAGGGAATTCCAGAATGTGATTTATGTGAGGTTATAGATTCCTCTTTAGATGGTGCACAAAATAAATGAAATGAGTTAGGTCATGTGGCATCTCATAGATGCCAGTTTTTATTCTAAAATTGTGAAACAGCATTACATCAAAACCTATGATTATATGTTTAATTTCTGCATTTTGTCTTTTTTCTAGCAATGTAAAATACTCATGGAATGCCAAAAGTGCTTTTTGGGCTGCAATTTGAAAAAATTTTAGACCTATAAATTTCCACTTCCGTTTGTCCATCTGTCTTTTCTTAATCTCGAGAACAGAGTTAGATAGATGAAAGATGAGACCAGATATAAAAACCTTAGGGGCAGGAGACCCCAGTTAACTATAAGGACTTCCAGTACCAACTGGAAATCATGTTATTTCAATTCAAAACTTCTCCTGAAAGCTGTTAATAGATGACTGGCACTACTTTATTGTTAAAGGAAAAGTATGATGTACAGGGGCAAGCTACTACTAAACTCGAGGTCTATATTTTAAATTAAATAAATTAAAAATATGATTAGAAAAATAAATATATCAAATTTCAGAAATTTGCAAATTATCTCAGCTTACACAATTAACATCTGCTTTTTGTGAAATTTGAGAGAAAGGTGTAATCTTTCAAGGTCAGTGTAGTAAAACTTTATTACTTTTGTGGCAGATTGTCAGTGCAGCCCATATTGAATGGCTACTACTACTAACCTCAATAAGCCACTAATTATTTTATTATCATGTTAAAAAAAGAACTTATAAAAAACCAAAACCATAAAGTGGAACAATATATATAGACTCTCACCTAAATGTCAAATTTCCAGCAAAAACACCAAATTTACTATTCGAATGCTTTCAGCCATTCCTTAATCAGACTTTTCCTCATGAAGGCTGATTAAGAAGTCGCCGAAAACGTTCAGTGCATTGCACCTCCCACTTGACTCTTTGCCCTCTTAAAGCCATCCAGTGATAAAGTAAGCGAGCTTTGCCAATTTGACGATTATTGCTCTGACCCTCGCCCGTATTCTCACACTTTGACAGGGTGCCAAGGGAGGAACTGTGATAGTGTCTCAAAAGAAAATTATTTCACAAGAAATACGTGGAAGTAATGTGCACAAACATTTTTTTATTTTTGAGAGGGTCCATTGATCCTGTTAACCACAGCCACAGCTCATTATCATGTTAGTTTATTTTCATAACATTTTTTGAAACATTCTTTTTGTCTTCAGAAACATCAAACTTTTAATTGTTACATATTTTTTCCAGTTCATTAAATATTATTCAAACTGAAACATTATACATTTGTAATGTATGATGTATAATATTATTACAAATTTTTATTTTAATCTTTAATTTCTTAAAATTTTTAGTTTACCTGTAAAGTAAATAGAAAAAAAAACAATTAATAGTTAGTTTTGAATTGATAAATAACATGTTTTGAAAATCTGAAGAAATTTTAAAAAAGAAAACTCTTAGGAAACTTTAGTGAACTGTTTTCTTCAAGTTAACTAAATGATTTGTACCTTAAGTGTAATTGAAAGACTCTTAAAAGTTTATGAAATCAATTATATTAGTTATGTTGTTAAAATAAAACTTTTGGTAAATAATAATATTATCATTATCGAATAATTCAATAATAATAATAATAATAATTATAATAATAATTCTCTGNACACACTTATTTAATTTTAGTTTTGTTTTGGTTGCTATGCCTTGACTTTGGTCCGGCATAGTACATAGCCACTGGTGTGAACCGAGTATAACTCACAAAACATAACAACAACAATAATAATAATAATAATGTTTATTGATTTAAATTTAAATTTCTTACAATGGGGACTATTTGATTGAATAATGTTAATAATGTACATACAATCCATGTTAATAAATTATTGGAGAAATTCCAAAGATTTAGAGAAAAAGGAAAAAATCATAATTCTATAATACAAAATTATTGATAGTTGCTAGATCAAGTTATTCAGTTGGATGGATGATATTTGATTATTATTGAAATGGATCCCTGAAAATAAGCAATTTAATAATTTTTTTACTTTAGATGGTTTGTAATTATAATTTATATATTTTCAAGATATATGTAAGTGTAAAGAAAAAAGTATAAATTGTTAGTGTTGGGAAGGTTAAAAACACTTTTTTTGCATGTGAATAAAATAAGGTTATGTAACATCCTTAGTAGCTAAATGATCTCAATATATTGCAGATGTAAAAACTATTTAATATTAGTCTGGAAGTACTCAACAAAGATAAATTACAAACTTGCTACAACACCTGTGTACATTCTTGGATAAATCTAAATTGTTTATAATTTGAAATAAATTTAGAAATGATATTTATGGTATTGTAATCTTCATTTCTTCATTTTTTAATTTCAAGATTCTATATGTTTTGAAAAGCCTACAGTAAATTCTATAGCCAGTTATAAAAATTTGATGATGTTATGGAAAATGTTGTTTGATTATTTTAAATGAATTTTTTGGCTGAATATTTTATTATTGATACCAGCTGTACCTGGCCACACGTTGTTTGGCTCAAAATGTATCTATTATAAATGTATAACACTCCCCGCAGGGGGAATTTTGAAAAATCCCTTCTTAGTGTACATTCTCTTGACGAACCCTATTAAAACACAATCAAAAACGCAAAAAACTGCATCTAAAATACAGTGTATTTATAAATGAATGGTGCAGTTTTAAAAATTAATAATAAATCTACTTATTACCTTTTATGGGCAAACCTTACATCATAAGTAGCATAACTGTCCAAGTTTTTTATGTGCTACTCGCTTTTCGCTTGTCATGCACTGCAGACCATCACAGAGAACATGCTACACTGTATAGGGAAGAATTTGATTACCATGTAGATGTGTGTTGTGTGGCCATGGGTGCACATATTGAAGGATTGTGATTAATGCATAAAAAACTTGGACAGTTGCTGCTGTTTATGCTGTAAGGTTTGCCTATCAGGTAATAAATAGATTTATTATTAATTTTAAAAACTACACCATTCATTTATAAACACCCTGTATTATAATAGAAGCCAAGTTCTTCACGGTAAGCCTTAATCCTGTCCCTCTTCCCTGCAGGGGGATTTTGACATCTGTATAATATAAAAACATGTATTCGAATGCAACGTTGTTTCAAAATTTCAAAGCAATCAGTTTCAACTTTCAGAGATTTAAGATTTTGAACAAACGAATATTTACATTTTTATATATAGAGATTAACGTGTTTATTCAATGAAAACGAAAAACTAATAAATTAAAATGTCCCAAAAAATTTGATGCTTGTCTGTGTAATAATTAAATAACAATGTTACTACACCAGAGTAAATTAAAATAATGTACCAGTGAGCCTGTTACTGGTGTGCGTCTGTTACTAAACCAACTGTTACAAACATTTTCAAACTCACAGGTTCTTCTTCAGGTAACATAACTTCTGAACAAATGCAATTCAAATTAGATTGAATTGGAACATCAGTTGGAACTCAATCGCTTAGATGTTGATAATGTCACTCAGGCATGTGCTGTATTATCTGAGTTTAATGTAAGTTCTTGTCCAAGTGCACCTCCAGGCCGTAGATAGAGTGATTTCATCCTTATGGTTAATGCAATTACCATCCTTGACTGTAGCCATGCAAATGTAAATAACTTCTAGCCATCTAAGATGGTGTACATGTTGCATAGTGTAGATGACCCTTGCTTGATTGAACATCAATCCTACTTCTGGGTCAGAGGCATAGATGGCAAGAGCAGTGGTGGTCCTCTGATGCCGAATATCTGGAATAATAATTTTATAATTATTCCAGAAATTCAGCATATCTAATAATTAATTCATAATTATTATATATTCAGCATATATAATAATTATGAAATAACTGAAGTATTTATTACATTAAGAGTGCTAATGTATTATTATATGATAAATTTCAAAACTAAAGTTTATTAATTTTAATTTTTATGAAAATTTAAAATGAAAAATAATTATCTAAAATTAATATTTTCATTTAGCATTCCATGTAACATGTGCCCAACAAGCAGGTCTTTATATGAAAATGGAAGCCGTAAGAGAAAATGGTAATAATGGTAATTCATATGTAAGGAAAACTGCATACTGTGATGTTCATACTCCAGCTGATTCTGATATGGTAAGAGTAGTTTCTAGATTTTAAATAGTAAATAAAAGCAAATAACTTTTAATATAATTAACTTATTTAGATTTATGTTAAAACAATATAAAGTGGAACCTCGGTATATGACCTTAAGCCGTTCCTAATATTTGGACTTATACCGAATTGGACGTATACCAAACCAACTTTTCCCATAAGAAGTAATGTAAAAATGATTAATTCGTTCTTATGTAAAAAAAAAAACAAAAAAAAAATGGCTGGCTTTAAACACCTCGCTTTCCTGGCTAGTTCCTGCTTGGTTTTTCATGAGATTAGCACGTATCTTTTTAGCTTTCTCGCAAATAATTGCTTCTGATACGCAGTCTCCAGCACATTGTTTTTCAGTTATCCAAAGCAAAAGCAATTTCTCAACATAATCAATGTCTTTGATCTCTGTTTAGAAATTAATTTAACCCCTTTCGCAACATTAGCAGATTTAATAATGTCTTTTTCACGATTGTCAATATTATTGTTCTCGGAATACGGTATGCAACAGTTAATTAAAATCTCGAACATGCATGCCACCTTCATATTTCTCAACAATCTCTTTTATCAGTTCCATTATGATTCTAGTAATTTTTTTAGTTTTCTGTTGCTTTTCATTTGCCTTTTTGCAATTCATGATTAATAAAAATAATAAAATGTTACTTACAAATTAAAATCAGAAGAAATTTAACAAAGTTATAAACCATGGCACTGTGAACATCTAGTCTGGTGTAGTACACTGATAGTGCTACTTGTTCATAGATGGTGCGTATAATTGAATTAAGTCGTATACTGAACAAAAGTCGTATATCGAGCAAAATTTGTTTCGTCCAAACAGGATGTATTCCAAATTGGATGTATTCTAAAGCAGACATATACCGAGGTACCACTGTAATTGATATTTAAATGAATAAACAAAAAATATGGATAAATTAGCAAATTAACTTGGAAAATTGCATCAAAGTTGAAATTTCTGTAGATGAATCATATATTTTATGTATACAGTAAAATTTCCCTTTGTGTGATTACCACTATTTTGTGACTGATAGAAAAATTCCCCAAAATTTTTTACTGATTTAAATAAGACATAGATTCCTATTATGTGATCACTCTGATTTGTGCTCTTCTCCAATGTGTGGCCATATTTTTTGGTCTTTTCCACACAAATTAGCCTCATATATGTGATCATTTGCATACAATTACTTCAGATGCAATTTATTACCATATAGAGCTGTTTGCTTTCTTTACAGGAAGTGTCAGATTATTAATATTGGTGATTGCAAATTTACTGGGTATTACATTATTGGTAATTATATTTGGAATTACTAGTTTATTGGTAATTTACTGGTAAATTCGTATTAACAAATGATTTAAAACAAAATCAAATTACTGACAGAATTATTAAACAACCATTTATTTACAAGTTTTCTATCATTTTAGATAAACAACATTCTTGTAATAGCAATTATTATGACATAACAGACATTGAAATAATACTGATAATTAATTATCTTTTTCCTTACTTTGAAAGGAGGCTATTAAAAACATAATAAATTTAGGCTCTTGTCGTCTAATCTAGACTTAATTTTCGTACAAATGGCAGCTGCATTAGAAAAAGCTCTCAAAATTAATACTAGTTGGATGTACTGTTATTAGAGCATTGAAAACCTTCTTAAGATATATTCCTTGTATTAACTCAATTAAAGTCTTCAGATAAGGAGGCGTTAAAGAAATTAAAATAAACACTTTATTTCTGCAGAAATAAAATGTTTATTTTAATTTCTTTAACACCTCCCTATCTGAAGTCTTTAATTGAGTTAATACATTGTTTATGTTGGCTTGATGTCCAATCTAAGTATTTAGTATACCTAACAGTATGTTCCTTGTATTTTTTTCTTTAAGAAATAATTCATTTCTTTCTTAACTATATCTTTCACACTTTTAAATTTACTTATATTTCTGTTATCAGTGCCTATGCTCATTTTATGTTTAATGAATAAGTACAATTTCTCTTTCATTGCTAAATTTGACTTCTCTATTGTGCACTTTGTTCTCGTCTCATTGTGAGACCTTGATGGTGTGGTAAGCAATGAACACCTCTCACTAGAATCTGAGTCTGAACTAATTTTAGTGACATCAGCATGTCGCAATTTATTTTCATTTTCTGATAAGTGCTTGATTATTTCTACAATCCCATTCAAAATTATATTTTTTGTTAACATTATTGGGTATTTCGTGTGACATATTTGTTCAATTTTTCTGGGTTATTTTCCTGTATTAGACTCCAAAAACAAGATCTGTTTTTGGAGTATAATACAGGGAATCAAGTAATAAACAGACTAGAAAATTCCTTTTAGTTTAACCTTAAATTACAAATAGAATGACCAATCACCACCTGCACTGTTTTCTCTCTATGGTATCTGGTGAGACAAAAGGGAAGTTTGCTTCCTAAGGGTATTTCCTGTAGGAATTCTAGGAAAATAAATATCAGGTTAATTAAGAGGTTTTTTAACCGAAATCCCAGTAAGAAAATTAATTACCAGTAAATTTATCAGGGTATAATTTTCCTAATTTACCGGTAATGCAATCACTAATTAATACCTTTCAGGGCTTCTGGTCACAAAGGATTGGGAGTCCTACATAATACATAATTTTATGATATCATAAACTAATAATGCCTAATTGTAGCTATAAAATTATTTATAAATTATGATATACAATTGCAATGGTAAAATTTTAATTTCATATTCAATAATAATGATAAGTTAATACAGTATTTACAACTTTGTTTACATTTATCATTTGACTGATATTTGATATGAAGGAATCATTTTGTTATTGTCTTTGGCATCTAAATTATGTTACTTTAGTGATAATATCTTTAACATGATATCTTAATTTTAGGACTGACTTTCTTGTTTAATTAAATTCTTGGAAATGTAATCACTATAATTTCCTGTAGATTGAGTGTTAATGCTAGATTTAAGTGAAAATTAGAATTTTTGATAGAAAAGAATTATAACATATGATGATATATGTTATAGTTTAAAAAATCCAGCTTTTTATAGAAAATAGAATGAACTCGTAGATTTTTTGATGCTCTTAGAACAGAAAAGCTCTTTAGTCTTTCTGGGTTTGTTATCTTCTATAATTTTTACAAATATATTTTTATTATAGAGTATACATAATGTATATTAAATACAAAATGAATTGTCTGTAGTGTTAAAATTCACAATTGAATCACAAGATACACTTTCATTTTTCAAAATTTTGTTGCAAGCACTTTTAATAATTAATGGTAGAAGTTTATCTAGATAGTCTCAATAGTGGCATTTCCATAATCTCGACAACATGTGTGTTTTGAGAGTTAATCTAGGTGTTCCTATCTTTAGTTTACAAGTTTTCTAATGTCATTTCAGTTCTAAAATAATTTCCTAACATTTTATAACTATGTTAAGAGTAATTTAAATTTTTAGGTTCAGAAAGTTATGTATTGTTGTACGAATAATTTTTTTCAAAGTTTATAATTCATATTTTGTCTTTTATTGTTGTAATGGCAAAGCTTGGAAAACATCAACAATTTTTTTGGCAAAAGTGTGCTTCAAGAGATTTTTTTTTTCATTTTATAATATCAAAATATTTAGAATTTAATTGTGACAAGAGAAATACATCAGTTGGTATGTTTGCCATAAAGTTTGGTATGCAACCTGCAGATGCAGTTTGTTTGAAATGTGATGGTGGTTGTAAATTAAATTATTGAAAGGATCATGATTCTGTTCCTTTTAGATGTCACATATGCAAGATGAACAGTTCATCATTTGAAGTAATTTTTTAACATAAATTTGGGAGAATTTTTTGGGAAACTACTTTTTTGTTTATTTGGCATCTAATCTATATATATAACCCATTCAACATGTGTTCGTCCGTCCCGTAACCGTTTGATAACGGACACTAGAGGCGCCCCTATCGTGTGCCATATTTAAAACATTCAAATTAAATTAACAATTTTAATTATTATTTAAATGAACAATATAAATTATTATTATTCATTTGGCCAATAAATTATTATTATTCATTTGGCCAATAAATTATTATTTGGTCAATATAACAATATAAATAATTCAGTATATTTGTAATAGGAATTTATTATTGTCACGGAATGCCTGTAATGTTCACTAGGGGGCGAATAACGAAAAACCGGATAGATTTGAACCACTACGATAAAACGATAAGGTTTGAAATAGTTAAGCTAATTTTTTAATAAAATTAAAGTATATTAAGTGCATTAAACATGCCTCATAGGAATTTGTAATACTGCTAAAACGCCCACTAGGGGGTGTCCCGGACTACTAGTTTGCATAGAATGCATGTTGAGCGTCAGCTGTTTGCCTGTGGGCATGAGTAGTTGAACAGCTATTGAATGGGTGAATTTCATATGACACATTATGATTGTTTCATTGTCTAATTTTATTGGAACGAAAATTGGATGGGCTGGAAAGGTTGTCGAAATTGACGAGATAGTTTTGAGCAAAATGAAAAAAACTAGGAGAAAAGTTAGACCTGTTCAGCATACGAGTAAGTTTTATCCTGGAGCAAGACGTGTTTTAGTTTGGAAAGAGCCGGATATTGTACCTTCAGTCCTGAAAGTAAGTGCCAAATAAATCCGAAAATCATAAGAGGAAGAATATAGACATGTGTTAAGAATGCAGAAAAGGTTTCTATAATGGAAAAGAACAAAGTTATGATAGAATCATCCAAACCATGTTTTTTATCGAATAAATCAGAGAAAAGGAATCAGAAAATACCTCAATGGTGAATGAAAGATTATTTCTTTAAATGCCGATGTAGTAAGTAGCTGCGCCAGTTGCCATCTTGTTTGTGAAAGTGACGTCCATAAACAAGATGACAATCTTAAGTGACATTGGGACTACCTTGGTAAACTTCTACCTAATTAATTCATCATTGTCATCATCAGGTGAATGAAATAAGAACAGTTTATTTTGTATTTAGTGTTATATCTTGACATCAGTATGTATTGTTTTTAATTAAGAAGAAAATTTGTTAGTTTATTCTTTATACATTTCAGCACGGTTTGAGCAAATGCAATAAAACTTTTCAGAGATTATCCTCTCATCCAGAAATCAGTTAGATCAGTAACTATGGTCGGTCAAATTAACTTCAATCCCTACCCGCAACAAATTCCCTTTTTTATCTGAACAATGGAATGGTGGCATTCAAATAGGAATATTTCTTAATATTGATACAAAGTTACTAGCTAGCTCAAAATATTTGACTGTTAATGATATGTTAGTGTTAACATTAGAAAAAATTTGAATGTCTTGAATTATCTTCTCATGAAGGTATAAATCAGCAACTATTATTTATTGAAAAACATAATTTTCTGTTTACCTGACTGACGAAATTAGTCAGGTAAACAGAAAATTATGTTTTTCAACAGAAATGGGTTTAATTATGTACCATCTAAGTTTTGCAATAAACAATATATTGGTAGGCTAAAATAACCAAACTGTTAATAGGGTTTTCATTTTAATGTTTGTTGTTTTTACTTTTTACTCTGGCTGCACAGGCATTTCTGTTCAATGTAATTAATACTTTAACAGACATGTTCTGTTTACACATAGTTTATCAAATTATTGTATATATCAATGAAAGAATCAATGTAATACCAGTGCACATATAAACATTACTAAACCTGATGTATTAAGAATAAACCAAATAATTACCATTTGGTTTATTTGAGTAACCATGAGATAACATGTAATCATTGATAGTTATGTTAATAATTAAATATGCCTGGAAACAAAGAATCACTCGAGTCCAGGTAGCATAACTGGCAATGTATCCATACAGTAAATGGGAGTAGCAGGTTAGAGTCCCACTCCGGACTGATTCTTTTCTTCCAGAATAATCTGAATTAATTAGTAAATATTATAATTATTAAATTTAATAAGAGATGACACCTCTAGTACCAAATCACTTAATAGTTAGTTATTAATAATAGCACTTAATTAGCCCAATTAATTAAGTTGATCGTTTGGTTTAATACCAATGCACTTTTATAATCTAATTAATTTCTTATAACTGTTTTAAGCAAGTCACTGTAAATTGGCATTTAATTTCCCATAAATTCAATATCACAAAGAAGTAAATAAGAACTTAAAATATATGTATAATAGATAACTTATATTAATTATTAAAGTGAAAGATGTATTATGTTTATATTTTATTTTATTGTATTTATTTAAGTTTTAAGTGTGAATCTTAATGTTAACTAAAGTAAACAAATGTTCAAGTTAAGAAAGCATTTTATATTTCATATATTGTTTCTTTTTTCTTACTACTATTATAATTTTTATTTAGATTTACATTAAAATTTTAATTTGCAGCAAATTGATGATGAAGGTGATGGAAAAACAGATAATGTAAAGAAAGCTAAAGCTAAAGCAAAGTCTAGAGAAAAAATGCGCAAAGCTCGAAAAATACTAGCAGAGAAAAGATCAGCTGTTCCTGTTGTATCTATTCCAACAATTCCTCCAGATAGGTATATATATGTATATTTTTATATAATTGTACATATTAAAACCTTACTAATTAAATTAGAATTTAGTTTATTGTTATTTTCTGTATGTGTAGAAAAAAGGAATTACTGTGGAATTTTCAGAAGTTTTTGTCACAGTATATCAAATGACCTTAATGTATACTATTTTCTTAAAAGTTATGACATTAAACAGAATTAAAATTTCTGAAATTAAATCCAGAATTATCTGCCAATCTGCTGAATTATCAGTCTATAATGAAGCTAAGTTAGCCTTATTATAGCCCAGTAATATAGTAGATCATCATTCAAAGTACAGTAGAGCATCAATTATCCGACTCAATTGGGAACTCGGGTTGGTCGGATAACTGAAAAAATCGGATAACCGGAAAGAATGAAAAAAACACATTATTGCTATAGTATATTAGTATATCTCTATTAATTAGTTAAATGTAATTAGTATATTAGTATATTGTTAACCTACTTCGCGTTGAATTTTCATTGATGTTAGGCCTAACAAATTTTTTTTAAAATAATAATCATCGCTATTGTATTGTTAAAATTATTTTTAAATTATTTTATTACTCACAAAACAAACAACCACTTATAATTAGAAAATTAAATCTCGTTTAAAAATACTGGCTTCCCTTTCATGGTCGAGCCAGTGTTGCCAGCTAAAACATGCAAAAATTTAACAAAAATTATATTAAAGTAGCCAAGACATAGCCAAATATTGTAGCGCCACATCACTAGCAAACATTTGAAATTTGCCGACTAGAACAGTCGGTTAACCGATGTGACGATTAATCGGGGGTTGGATAATCGATACTCTATTGTAATTAGGTTATTGGAGTTGTATATATATATGTATCCAATAACCCAATTACTTTAAATAAAACTGGATGATATATATTTGTGTATATATATATTTATATATACAAATTTTCTGAATTCATATGTATTGAAAATCTTGTTATATTTGATTTTATCAATTCTTTTATGATCACTTTTAACATTCTACAATTATATTATTAGATCCTAATTTTTACTGTGTATCTGTAGATATTTTTTACAATATGAATAATAATAAAATTATTCAATTTCATGTTTGAAATCTTTAAATATTTTTCTGTTACATGGATTTTATTTTTAAACATGACAATTGAGCTATTTATCATATGAATTATAATATAATATAATGTTTAATTTCTTATTTGATGATCTTGTTATGATAAATTAAATAACTAAATCAAAATTAAGTAAATATTTTAAATTAATACTTGGGTAACAGAATGATTTGTTTTTGTTTTTAAAGAGTTGCATAGTGAATCATGCTGTTTATGTCATAGCTTTGTACGTAATTATTAAATTGATGTAGTTTTCGATATTCCATGATGTGTATTACTTTTTATTACAATTCAACAGGTTGATTGAGGTTATGCATTGTGTTATTTTAAGGGTGGGTATGTACAAGACATGGAGCATTAAAGGGAGTGGAATGGTAGTTAAGTATAAAAATAACATTATATAATTTATGGATAATTACATATACTGATTTCTAAAGATCCTTACGCTTATTTAACTGTAATGAAAACAAGTGCAATCAACATTGAAACATAAAATGGGTTTAATACAGACTATGCAATCATGTTGCTAATATATACACAATAGTGTATATATTAGCAACATGATTGCATTGTGCTGCTAGTGTATTTCAGTATTAATATCATAAAAGTATATAAAAATTATATTTTTTATTCAGATTTTTAGCAAAATTAAAATACAGGAAAGTTAATAAAAATAACTAACTTGCATTTTGTTTTATATATCTATTGATAAATTATTCTAACTTACAGTAAATTTTTATTTGCTTTTACTAAGTCATAATGTTACTACTATATATTTTCCATTATAAAATAGGGTAATTTATTTTTGTTATATATATGTAAAGATTGATCTATGGCACCAAAAACTTTATTTTAAGATATATTATATATTGAATGTTGTTATGTAAATTTTTTTATTTAGAAAGGTTACTATCAAAATCAAGTTGATACTTTTTTATATTGAATTAGGTTAACTAAAATTGCTTCATTAGTTTCTATGAACAAAAAACATCAATTTCTCCAACGACTTCTTGGGTATTGGACATTAAAAAGACAAACTCGAAATGGTGTACCTTTGTTAAGAAGATTGCAAACATCTCATTTGACAAGGAGGGAACAGGTAAAATTAACATACTTCAATTAATTATTTTATCAAGGAAAATTTTTGTAATTAGTTTAATAAACCAAATAGAAAGGTTTTAAAAATGATGAAATGTATGATAATTTTGTAATGTTTTTTTATTATTAGAGAGCATAATTTCTTACAGCTATATTGCAATGAATATATTCATATGCAAGATGCCTGACAATACTAGATAAGAAATATAGGGATACAGTTTGATTTCAAAAAATTTAGTTTTCTAATGTTAGGTTTATGTAGAAATGAAGATGATTAAAGATTTTGTTCTTTAAGCATGCATTGTTTAGAAGAATTATTGTTTAAAATATTTTGCCTTAAAGGTTTAAAGAAACTTGAATCTTTATTTTAGAGTATGTTTTGCCTCTTTAAGTTGTCAACAGTTGATTTAAAATTGTTAAAACAATAATGATGATTTTATTTATTTATTTCTAATGATTTTTGTACGTTAAAAGTTTTTATATTTTATAAAAGTAATTTACTTCAGAACAATAAATGAAACCTAATAAAGGCTGAACTGCATTTTAGTTTGACGTAGTAGTAATTTTCATTTTAAAGTTTATAAATGTTATTTTTTTTTTGGCAAATGTACAGCTTTGAAGAAATAAAGCTGAATATTCATCTCCTAATATATCAAATACTGTATTAAAAAAAAATACATAAATTGTATTAATTAACAAGTAATGCAAAAAAGAATATTGGAATAAAAACAAAAAGCGTAATTTGAGAATTGTTCTTTTGTTTTCTGGTTTAATATATTTTTATTTACATTTCTCAAAAGGAAAATTGCAACATCATGAAACAATGTATGTAGAAACATGCACATTGAAGGACTGGAAGAGGTGATAGAGATATGCAAATGATTAAAAGAATAAAGATATGCTACAGACAACCTCCAAACGTACGCCGTAAATCCATCGGGCTAGTTTTATGGCTAATTACTATATTAATTACATAACGAATTTGGTACTAGAGGTAAGCGTTAGGCGCCATCTCTTATTAATATTAATAATTATAAATAAATTAATTAATTTAAATAATTTAGAACCGCTGGGAGAAAAAAACGGCTCGGAGCGGGACTCGAACCCACAACTCCTGCTTACCGTGCAGATGCGTTGCCAGTTACGCTACCCGGACCTCCAGTACGATCTCATCAGATTATTTAAATTAATTAATTTATTTATAATTATTAATATTAATAAGAGATGGCGCCTAACGCTTACCTCTAGTACCAAATTCGTTATGTAATTAATATAGTAATTAGCCATAAAACTAGCCCGATGGATTTACGGCGTACGTTTGGAGATTAGCTATTACATCGGGTTTAGCGATGATTGTAGATATATTACGCCTTGCCGGGGCTTGCGATGGCCGGTTGAGTGCCGTATAGGAGTAGGACGTGGGCACTGAATGTGTCCCCAGCCGGCATTGTAATAACCGTCGATGGTTACATAGTTATACGCTGGAAGAGGAGATCGTACTGGAGGTCCGGGTAGCGTAACTGGCAACGCATCTGCACGGTAAGCAGGAGTTGTGGGTTCGAGTCCCGCTCCGGGCCGATTTTTTCTCCCAGCGGTTCTAAATTATTTAAATTAATTAATTTATTTATAATTATTAATATTAATAAGAGATGGCGCCTAACGCTTACCTCTAGTACCAAATTCGTTATGTAATTAATATAGTAATTAGCCATAAAACTAGCCCGATGGATTTATGGCGTACGTTTGGAGATTAGCTATTACATCGGGTTTAGCGATGATTGTAGCTACAGACAACTGTTTTCAGTAACAAATATGGTCCCCACAAGCAGCTATATAGGCCACTATAAGGTGAATCATACTATCAATGAAATGATTAATGGTTGCCAGAGGCATCCCTTGCCAAGCTGCATCCACTATGGTGTTTATGTCATCTACGGTATTTGGCGGTGGTCTCCAGTGCACCTCACATCAAATGAAGTCCCACAGGTTTAATGGGAGAGAGATTCAGCAAAGCCGCTGGTCAGGGAAGGATGTGAATTCTATTCAGGATGGTGAGAGTTTGTTGTGCTATGTGTGGTTGGGCATTGTCTTGCTGGAACAGTGTTTCAGATGCAGCCTTGTGGCCAGTGGCCAAACCACAGGCCTCACAATTTGTGTGACATACTGGTTCTCTGTCAGAATACCAGAAATGTGCAACAGAGCTGTCTGCTGATCAAAAATCATGTCTTCCCAAAATCCTGATGCCTGATGTGGGGTTAGTGTGATGCTTGCCAAAAAGTGCTAGTATTTAGCATTCTCCGGGATACTCGTACACTTGTCCTCAGCCATCCACAGACAGAAGTGGGATTCATCTGTAAACAATACCTGATGCCATTCAGTGGTCCAGTTGCATTGACAGCACCACAACACCAGGCATGTAGCCCTGATGGCACACCCTGTTGCTGGTTGCCTTGTGTGCAGCCTGACATCATGCAACCTGTTGCTAATGATTTGGGTGGACACAGATGCATCTGTTGATGTCAACAGGTGACTCTGGATGATGTATCGTGGCAAATGGATCCGGTGGGCTGTTTGGCAAATCTGTCAGTTTGTGCTCTCAGTCGCGTACCAATGTGATCCATTCTCTCTTTGGCATGTTTGCAGATATTCCTGCGTCCATTGTGTCACACATCACTGGATGATACTCATGTCTTGCCCAACATGCATAGTAACTGTGTGCATCCACAAACTGAGGTTGTTGCACAGCCCCAGGATAAGATTTTGTTCCCCAGTCATTAACTGGTGGTATTAGCTTGTTATCGTCTCTAAGGCATTTTCTACACTTCTTCAAAAGATTGGCAGCCGCAAACCATTGCTGATAGCATTTGTGGTCTGAGTTGACTGCTGGTTTTTACAGCCAAAAACTGGGTACCACATGACCTGATGCATACTGAAACTTAGTCATTTGCATATTTCTCTCACCTTTTACTGGTCCTGCAATTTGCGGGTGGCTATGCACATTCCTTTGTGGTATGGCAATTTCACTTTTGAGGAGTGTAAAAAAAATATGTAGATTATGAGATACTGCTTTCATAAGTAATTAAATTAACTGGAATATTTACAGTAAATATATAATACACCTTTAATTTTCTTGTATTTATTGTGTATTTTAGTCCTTTTAAAAGGATTGAAAGTACTTGTTTGTAACAGAATTGTTTCTATCTCATAAACTACATACTGATCTGATCACAAATCTATATATCGTTTTTATAATAGTAATATATCAATTTGTGAGTTATATGACTGACTAATGTTGATTATGTAAAAATAATTTATTATTAAATAAAATTTGAAATTGTAAGATAAAGCAATTTGCATTTAAATTTAAAAAAGTAATAAAAAGATTTATATTTAAAACAGAAGTTTTTGTATAAATAATCAGTCATGTAAAATATTTTTATGCTTTCTTTTCAAAGAATACTTAGTTTCAAATAGTAATTATCTAATTATTCTTGATAGCTTCCTTCAGATTTGAAATTGGTAATTATTCATCACTTTGAATTTTTAGTACCTGCTAATTTGTCTTAATCAATTATTAGTGGAATAAATTTTAAACTGTCTAAATTTAATGTATTTCATAAACTGAATTAGTGTTTTAAATATTTTGATTATGCTATAAGTATGAAATGAGAATTTACAGAATAAAATTGCTCAATTTACTATTAATTGTTTTTGAATCTGTATAATGGTATAAAAATGTCTTACAGAATTTTAAATATTTTATATATTTTTTTAAAGAAACTGTATTTCTATTTGTAATTTTATTATTATATATGTATACAGAAAGATGGTGATAAGGCATCTAGTACTCTTGGTGAGCAACTGAAATATTGGCAAAGGTTACGTCAAGATTTGGAAAGAGCAAGACTTCTTATAGAGCTTATAAGGAAACGGGAGAAATTAAAAAAAGAATATGTAAACATCTATTTTTTAAATATTTAATTACAATTTTTTAAAATAGTTATTACTTTTAATGTTTAATAATTAAAAAATTGTTAAATAGATAAAAGCACATCAAATAACAACAGAAATGGAATTACAGCCTTTCGTTATATTTTTGAAAAATGTTCTTGATCAACTGCAAGAAAAAGATTCGGGAAATATATTTGCACAACCAGTTGATCTCAAAGAGGTAATTGTAACATTTTTGTATTTTAAAAATATTTAATGAAAAGTTGAAAATATTTGATAAATCCTCATGATATTCTAAACAATTAAAATATAATTAGGGCTTGAAATTATGTTACTTTTTTTGTAGAAGATACTTTAGTAGCTGAATCTATTAAAAAAAAAAAAAAGTATCTTCTACTTTTTTCATTAATCAGAATACTTACGACAATCAAAACAGATTTAAAGTCACATACTATTTGTTGGTCAAAATTTATTATCAAAATTTAATCATTACTCTGTGCAAAAGAATGATTTGTCATATATCAGATTATTGAAAAATCAAACTAATTGGTAATTTCTTTGTAGAGCTCTAATTGTTTTTCTCAGATTAGCCTGATGCTAATTGCATTCTTTGCATATTAGTTTTTCATATAGTTATTTTGTCAGTATTGCATTCAATTTGAAATATAATTAATAATGAGAAATTATTTCATTATGAATTAAATACAAAACTGAATTATATTTAAAACTAGAAAAATAAAAACACCATAAACTTCAGCAATAAAACTTATCATCACTAATGTTTTTTACTTTATTAAAAGGCTTTCTTCAGATTACAATATATTGAATATTAGAACTGTCCAAAGAATGTTGATGGATGGAACATGTCCCATATATTTTAAATTTAATACTGTGTTCCATTTGTATTTTTTGGACTGTTCTAATATTCAATATAATGTAGTCTGAAAAGTTTTTAATGAAGTTAAAATTTTTATTAATAAGAAGTTTTATGCTGGAATTAATGGGATTTTTTCTTCTTGACTAAATTTTATTTTTATGTTGAAGGAATTTCTGAATCAAAATAATTCATTTCCATAGATGATGATAAACAAAATCAGGCATCCCAATATTTTCTATTGAGGCAGCATTGAACTCTGTTACAATATTACTATCACAAAATTTCCAGAACTATCTAAAATAATTGTGTTAAGCTAGTTTAACTGATAGAATATTGGAATAGTTCTTGAATGATTGATAGTAAAAACCAACACAACACCAGGGAATAGTCAACAACATCTTCTATGAACTGATGACTGGTGTTCAAAGAAAAAACAAAACGAAAATTCACCAAAAACATTTTTGAACTCTGGGGAGTTTGAAAATTTTTGCAGTGAATTTTCGTTTACATTGGGTACCTTGTTGAATGATTGATATTTTATATTTTTCATCTGACAGATTGTTTTTATGGTTTTATGGTAATTTTGTCTACCAGATTTAAATCTGGTAAACAAATCTTCATGTTTTCAAATAATTAGTCAGTCGTATTTCAAAATTTGAAATTTATTTTTATATTTTTTTTTATAGAAATCAATTTATTGTAAGTTTGTATCCTGTAAAAAAAAAGTTAAATTTTAAGACATTATATTTATTACAATTGAAATGAAACATTGCTTGTTTAAAAAAACTAATTCTAAGTTTATTAAAATTTTACATTTTTGGCACAGCTTAGGTCACTTTCAGTAATCAAAAACCAATTGAATGTATAACTAAAACAATTATTTACTGTGACATTGTTGCAATGCTGGACTGCAATTTTTAATCATATAAAAATATGATTAATTAATTAAATTTAAAATATATGCTTTCCACTTCAAATTAGTAGTGGCTCGCCCTGTTCATCATATAAAATTTTCCTTTAACAATAAAGTCATGCCTGTCATCTATTAACTGGGAAAAAGTTTTTGAATTGAAATAATGTGACTTCCGGTTTGCATCAGAAGTCAGAAGTTCATATATAGTTAATTGGGGTAAGTTTTCCATATCTGGTCTTGGTTTTCATCTATCTAACTCCATTCTTGAAATTAAGGAAAGACGGATGGACAACAGTGGAAATTTATAGATTACAAGTTTTTCAAATTGCAGCCCAATAATCAAATATATTTTTGATTAGAATGTGATGCATTAAAGATTCATTCAATTATTTTAGTTATACCAAACAGAATCCTACACCAACCTTTTTCCAGCACTGATTTAATATGGAATACTATTGCATATTAAGAACTTGTTTAATTTTTTAAACGATATAATTAAAATTTTTGTCAATTTGAAATTATCTTGATCTCCTTGAATGATCATATTAGTTGACTGTATTTAACTGAAGTAAAATATTATAGAAGCAAATTTATTTACAATATTATACAATAACAATATATTTATACATTAATAATAATATAAAATTTTGCATTTTTTTCTTAAAGGTTCCTGATTATTTAGATTATATTAAACAACCTATGGATTTTTCAACAATGAGACAAAAATTAAAATCACACAAATATTTTACATTAGAAGATTTTGAAGCAGATTTTCAGTTAATTATTAGTAATTGTATGACTTACAATGCAAAAGATACTGTATTTTATAGAGCAGCTTTGAAGATGAAAGATCAGGTTTGATTTATTTTTATCCTTTTAATTAATTTTATTCGCAAGTTTCATTATTAGAATTTTTACTCTTCAGGGAAATTTAATTCTGGGGCAAGCACGTAAGCAAATAGAACGGGTGCAATACGATCTGACGGGTGGCATTCATATTGAACTCCCACCTGATGAAAACAATGATTTCAGCAGTATTCAGGAAGGTAAATAATACATATTACCATTTTAATAATTTTAATTGTTAACATATGTAATCATGAAGTTAAAGGACCATTATTTACTTTATGCAAATGAAAAAATCTATTACAAAGTCAATATTTTTGTTGGGATATCAAATCAGTGAAGACAGAGATCAAAAAAAGTGTTCTTCAGTTTCAGGTTTTACTATTACATTAGTATTTTGATTGTCAAATAAAACTATATTTAAACTACAAACATGAAGAAGTAAGTTATGAATTACAAAACAAAAAAGAACTGTTTATAATCATTAATACAGTAAGACCCCACTTAACGCTGCCTTGCTTAATGCTGATTTGATATAATGCTGTATCTGCTCTAAAAAAAAACTAATTTAAATTATCGTGGCATTTTATTGATTCGTACATAATAAAATTATTTATGAACATGAACCAATCAGTCAAAGGTGGCAAAAAGGTGTACTTTCTTTCTTTGGTGCAATTTTGGAAAAAATATAACATCATGGATGCCATAGACAATATTGGCTCACTTGGGTAGAATTAACTGATAAATGCACGAATGAAGTGTGGAAGAAGTTATGGCTGAAGGTATCCAAGAATTTATGATAAGAGCCTAGCTGTATCGTTAGGGTGACCAAATTGTCAACCTAATTGATACAGAAGGAGTAGGAGATGTAGACAAGCAGGATATTGAGGAGATACTGCAGGTTTCTGGTGAGAGCCTTACCAATGACTACCTTGAAGAACTGGTAGAACAAGGAATTCATGTAGAACTGGAAAATTGTGATTCTAAAACGAAGAACCCAAAGAATTTCTCTACAGATTTCCTTACTAAAAGTTTGGTAATGATAACCCAAATCATTGATCAAATTGTAGCAAATGATCCAGATTTTGAAAGGAGTGCAAAAACAAAATGAGGCATTTTGGATGCAATCTTCTGCTACCGACATTTGCTTAAAGAAAGAAAAGGCAACAAATGAAATTTTGTGACATTATTGCAAAAAAACAAGAATTTCAGAAAAGTCGGGACCTTCGTAACAAAAAATGAACTATTAATATAGAAAAAATGATCTAATTAATATATTATTATACATTTCTGTGTGAATATGTTTGTGTGTTATTTAACATATTACTATACAAATTAATATAAAAATAACTTAAAATTAAAGTAAAATCTGTTTATTTTTGGTTGTGTGTTCCCCTATCCCTATTTACTCTATGTTAAAATGACCTCATCTAACACTGTTTTGTTTAGCACTTTGTCGTCTAGGAATGCATCCCCTGTATTAAGCGGTGTCTTACTGTATATTTATTTAATTTCAGTCTCTTATATTTCATTTGTATTATTTGGATCAAAGGCAGTTTGATAATTTTCATTTATAGCTCCTGAATAAGTTTGTGTGTATAATATAATATAATATAATATAAGCTATAATATAAGCTTATATTATATTGTATTATATTATATTGTATTATATTATATTATATTATATTATATTGTATAATATAAGCTAAATAGAGTATTTCTGTGAATTTAATTTCTCTTAATGACAGAGCATTATTAACATGAATGCTTACACAATAATTTTGAAAAACTTTAATTTCTTTAAAATTATTTAAATTTATTTTAGAATAGAAACTGTTTTAAAAAATAAAATTTTGTTGTACTGTTATAGTTTAACTTGAAAGATAATTAATAATAATGTAAATTTTATTCAAATGCTACTTTAATTAAGATAAATTTATATGACCAGATGTCTTGCTTTTGGTGCAACAGTCCTGTTTTAATGTCTTTTATCCCATTGTGTATTGAGGGGTTGGTCAGGACACCTCAGTGTCCCATTTTGTAAATATGCTTCAATGAAAGTATGTCTGTTCAGTAATATGAAGTAAAATTTTTTCTGAGGGTATGACAGTTTTGATTTTTAAAATATCAGTCTTAGGCTATAATGGTAATGTCATGAAAGTGATGATAGTTTTTGTTCAGTTCACTTATGTAATGGTGGATAATATTGTGTGTAGATAAAAAGGACAAAAATGTCAGTTAATCTACGTTTCTTGTTTTAAACAAATATAATTATTTGAAGGAGTAGTAATAATGCACTTCATAAGTTTAAGAAAATTTAATTTTATTGGTTATTTGTAAATCTAATATGATTGAAAGGTTGGTACCACATCAGTGATGCCTAAGTCAGGATTGATACCACTGCACCTTTTGGGGAACACACAGAAACCACCATGCTGTTAGGTTGTTGCTTCATGCAAGCAGTTACACATGTAGAAGGTTAGGCTTGGGATAGAGTAAGTTTAGAGATGTGATGGGAAGAAGGTGCACTACTATAGGTTAAATAAAACCAATACTTGTTAGATAAATAAAGAACTTACTGGATAATGTATAACTAACAAACACAGCACCTTATTAATCCCAGCAATATTTAATAAGAATAATAACGTTTTCGACTGTTAACAGCCTTTATCAGTTGAACTGATGAAGGCTGTTTAAAACAGTCAAACGTTATTATTCTTATTAAATATTGCTGGGATTAATAAGGTGTTGTGTTTGTTAGTTACCAATACTTGTTTATTTATACAAAGAATTATTCACCTCTGACAAGAGTCTTCAAACAATTTAGAACTTTAGGACAATAATAGCAAGTCATTAAGTGCAAGGGAGAGAGTTTACAATTGATCACAAGTTGCTAAATACCTGGGGTTGATGGTACTCAAAGGTGGTCTGATGCTCTTGCCTGGAGGAGGTTGATTCGTTCAGGATTGTTGTAGGAAAGTTCTTAATCACAGGAGACGGCATCTTTGGAATGCATTATGACAGGTGAGGAAGTACTCAGTAAGTGAAGTATCCGTTGGTTGGATAAGGCACCGTACTAAACAGTTGGAGGAACAGGTGACAACTCCTGGAATCGGCCATTCCCTGGTATATTAAAACAGCATATTACATTAGAGATGTCAAAAGGTCACAGGAAAGGCATCATTTCCAACTGAGAAAGTGTAAGTTGAAACTCTCCCAGGTTAGAAAGTTGACCTATGCTAGCTGCTGATGAAGTCTTCCTGGAATTGTTTCCTTTTTACATGGGGGTTCTCCCCTTTGTGTATTTTCATTTTTGGTTACTGAGCATTGAAAAAAATATAATTGCAACATCCAGATGTGAATTTCAGAAGTTATTCTTTTGTAACATTCTTTTTGAACAAACGTTCTCTACCCAGACCAGGTTCCCACACTAATAAACAACAGAAGAAATTAATTACTTATTAAATATGACTTTTTAAAATTTATATTTTATTGAACAAAGTATAGTAATGAATATAGTTCATAATAAGTCATAACTAATTTCTGAAAGATGTAATGTTATAAAAAGAACATTTTAAGAATTTGATATCACCAACTGAAACTTTAATCATCTATGCATCTGACATTTAAAATTTATTTAAAAGATTAGAAATATTTTTTCAGAAAATTAAGAAATAGCATTAATGAAAAAAGAATTGAAGAAATAGTACTATGAAGTACTATGAATGTAACTGTAATGTGAAAAGAATGTTTTTCACTTTAATATGAATTTTCTTCTTCTTGAATATAAAGTTGCAAATAATTGATGTATTTAATCTTTGTTGATTCTTGAATATAGACTCATTTGTGACCTTTTTTAACAGATTTTTCAGAATGAGTAGTCATCATCTAGCAATATTTATGAAACTTATCAACATTGTTGGTGACATTGATCTTGATAACTTTTGGTCTTATGCATATTGCCAACATATTAAATATGATTTAAATTCAGGCTTTCAATGGGTTTTTCTTATTGTATGTTATTGTCCTCTACATTTTTGTCTATAAGACTGTGATATGATGATAAGATTTTGCTAAGTATAATGACTAATTATACCTGCAAAAATAATAATATTTATACACTTATCTGTACAACATGATCTGTAAATTGAGGTGTAGATGATCTTCTAAACAAACTTCAAATTTTCATATATTTTTTTTTAATTATGTATTGAAATATTATTTTTTTATACTTTTCACACTTCATAATATTGATCATTTGACTTAAAGTAATGTACATTCAAAATTTATACATGGACAACACATTGTTTTATTTAACAGTTTCCTATTGAAGTTTTTAAGAAATTTATATACAGTGGTACCTCAGGTTACGAACGCCCCAGCATACGAAATTTTCAGGATACGACATGAAATTCGAACATATTTTTGCTCCACGATACGAACAAAAACTCACCATACGACGTTACATTAGTTTGCATTTTTCATTTGTTTTTCTTACTACAGTTATTTTTTTAAATGTATTACTTGGCTTTAATTTGAGTATGTTTTTCGCGTTGGAACGAATTATTTGGTTTTACGTGTAATTGTATGGGGAAAAATGATTCACCTTACGACATTTTCATGATACGATCTCAGTTTCGGAACGGATTAATTTCGTATCCTGAGGTACCACTGTATAAAAATATAAAATGTATATAAATTCAGAAAACCCACTGGTGTTCCAACTAAGATTATCAAATGGTAAACCCATGTTTGTTTTACAACAAAGTCTGTTTTAATCTCTGTTATAAGACAAACTTGGATTTACTATTTGATAGTCTTAAGTGGAACACAGTAGATTTTCTGAATTTATATGATATAAAGTCTACCACAGTGATTTAGTTTCTAAATCATTGTCTATACTAATATTATAAAGAGGTAAAGTTTGTAAGTTTGGATGTAAGAGGTAATCTCCAAAACTACTCATTCGATTTCAAAAATTCTTTCACCAATATTTAGAATGGACCTTCAGGATGGACATAGGCTGTATATTATTTCGTTAAACATTCATATAAATTAAAAGATATCATCTAGGATTAAGTCTTTTATGTCCAACAGATGGCGCTAACTCTGTGAATACAATGACCTAAGTTTTCTTTTCTCTGAGGATGAACTAAAGCAGATTATCTTCTATCTATTTATATAAATAAAAATCTAATGTTTGTTTGTTCCTACCGATTCCTTTGAAATATTGACACAATGTTGTATTTGAATACACACGTGTTTTTATATAACGGATGGGCAAGCAAGAGTTCAGTGGAAGCCGAAATGTAAATTTTGCAAAATGCATGGGAGCTGCAGTTTTGTACTTTTTTTATTCTGTACCATAATTTTATTATATAATATAAAACAAATATTGAATTTTTTAATAAACATATTTTCACAAAATTGTGGAAATAAAATTGTAAAAATAATAATAAAAAGCAGAAATTAACACTTTCAGCAAGAGTCACATGTAATTCAAAAAGAGCTGCATTTGCTTATGTCTGTTATATAATATACATGTCAAAATTCCCCCCACTGGGGGGAGATGGACAGGATTAAGGCTTACCATGAAGAACTTTGCTTCTATCTATACTATTTTAGATGTGGGTTTTTTGAATATTTGATTGCATTTTAATAGGGTATGTCAAGAGAATGTACACTAAAATGGGATTTTTCGAAAAATTTTCCCCCATGAGGGAAGTGTTATACATTTATAATAGATACATTTTGAGCCACAACAACGCGTGGCGGGGTCTGCTAGTCTATATATAAAATGTGTTAAAAATATCATTTTTGAGGCTTAATTACCTACCTTTAGATTAAATTATACAGTTGTTCTTCTTAGCCATAATCAATTTGTAATATCACTGAAGGGCATGGTGATATTACAAATTGATGGCTTTAATTGTATTTTTCCACTGTTCATGGTGTTGTGCCATTTGGATGGCTTCATACATTGTATGTCCTGTAATCATCATTACTTGATCTGCCCACCTAATCCGAAATCTGTCTTTAGGACATTTGCCATTGATCTTCTCTTCTAGAATTTATTTCTCAAATCCATTTTTGCATCTGGAGATATCTCCCAAGAAATGAAGGTACGATTGATATATTTTAGTAGTAAGGCGTGCTTTGATTTTCAGTTGGAGCAATTTGTTTGATGCTCCATCCAAGAGATTCTCAGCATTCTTCTATATGCATTCTAATTATATCGTTAGTTACTTAAATTAATAGTCCAGACATAGCCTGACAAGTCCAGCAATTAACTTTTTTACAATACTGCTTTATGTAAAAATTCTTTGAGAAAATGGTATGGTTTATTCATTTGAAATTAAAATGATTAACACTTAATAACAGTGAACAAAATGTGTATTTTTGTTTTGAATATTGCATTTTTATTTTCTTGTAAAATTAGCTTAGACTAAACAATTTTTATTTTCTCACATCATTTTCAAATACTTTTTGCCAGGGGTTTAAAATGAAAAGATTTATTTCAGATAAAACAAATGAGAAATTAACATATAGAATTAATGCAGTATGAACATGAATAATGGTCCTTTTATTTCTTGATTTTATCTAATATAAAATATTATATAATCTAAATTATTAAAGTTTGAAATAATCTACTATTTATTATTTTTTAGAAATTAAGAAATTTGAAAATCAATCATCAGTCACTGATATTCGTAAGTTGTTTTAAGAAGCTCATATTATTAAATAAAAAATTATAACTAAAACATAATTGGAATTGTAATTATTAGTATAATATTAAATATTCTAAAAAATAAAATAAATATTTAAATTAGTATAATAGTTAAATATTGAAATATTTAACTATTAATATAATAGTTAAATATTTAAATAGTATAATAGTATATTTAAATTGTATAATAGTTAAATAGTTAAATGTTTAACTATTCTTTAAGTTCATTTTTGTTTGTTAATTTATTAATTAAATACAATATTTATAAAATAATATAACCAACTCCAAATTTTTAAAATTACAACAAAAATCTGCTTTATTGGAGCTCACTTAAATTGCACAACAATTTTTCCAGTACTTTTGAACAATCAATGTCGTTATGTATATCCTTACAATGAGCTTGGTTGTCTGATAGTATCAGAAAAACTGTTCAGTTTAAGTGAGCTCCAATAAAAACGCAGATAAATATATATTTTATACAAATAGATTATTATATAAGTAATTGTATATTTGCACATACATAGTGAAATTTTTAAAGAAGGAAAAAAAATTATATATTACAAATAATTAAATAGGCGTTAATTTTAAAATAAATTACAAAGACATTTTACAATTTACTTAGTTTTTAATATTTTGATAAAAATAATAGAATGCATATTTAACAGCTTGCTTAAAATTTCAAGACTGTGAATTATAAAAAAAGTGTTGTGGTTCAAATCAATGATTATGAAAGTTTCCAATGGTAATAATGTTTATTACACAGTACTTCAACAAACTGTACAAATTAACAGATTAGAATTTATATTTACTATATGATTAGGCATTAATTAACAAATTATATATTGAAATTATTTCTTTGTATTCACCAGTGACGAAGTGCATAAAAACCACTTAACACTGGTAGTGTTAATTGCTCAAGGTCATGGGTTCAAGCTTGACCATCATGCTGGCTGCATGGAGTTTTCCAGGTTTTTTTTTCATGTGTCTAGCAGTTAATTAAATAGATGCTAGTTTTCTATGAAAGTTTTTTCTGGAGATGCCCATATTGAAAAATTTACAAAAAATATAGTAACTTAGTTTTCATTAAATTATTCAACTTCTTTTGGTTTCTATTTTAGTATTATTTTAATGATGATAACAGGTATTTCTGAAAATATGTATAGTGTTTAAAATTAACTCCTTAATACAGTAACAAGAAACAAATTTAATAATTGAACTATTAAATTTATTAAATTTGTTTTTGTTACTGGATTAAGGTGTGTTTTGAGTTCATTTTTTCCAGTAGTGTTTGAAACATTTTGTTTTTTTAAAAATAAATTGTTTGTATTCTTTATAGATCAACAGCTTTTTCTTGGTAACATTGTTCTGCAAAAAAAATTTTTTTCTGCTCCAGTCAAACATTTTCATTGCATTTTTTTAGTTTTAATAGTGCTGAATCCAAATCTGGCAACAGAATTGACCTAACACTACTTTTGAGAGAGAAATATTTTCTGTTTAAAATATATGTTTATTGGCTTCATACATTGCTAATTGGCTAATTAGATACAAATAAATTTATGTTAATTACTCCTTTTTCATAATTGTGTACATTGGAGTGACTGGGTGGTAAAGGATAGGGCTCAAAATATTAAGGATAGTTCCACCCATGAAAAATTTCTGAGCTGCTTGCTTCAATTCAAGTCCAGGCCCCCAGAGCAATAGGCTGATGCCCTAACTTACTTACTTCTGCATACAGCCACCATCAGCATTATATTAATTTTAATTGCCAGTATTGAATGTTGCATTACTTGCAACTGTCTTTCAGTGATAACTAAGCAGTTGCTATTTCTTAAAATGTACATTTATAGATAATGTACTTGTTACATTAATGAAATTCTGTCACTTATACAATTTTTTAAATAATTAAATTTGGTGTAAAATTTATTTCTTGCATTAAATGAAATGGTTAGATTTAATGGAAAAATATAGACATAATATAATACCATGAAAATATATTAGACATTAAAATATTATTAGAAATATTAAAAAGTTTTTTCTGTCACATGGCAGGCAAGTATATTCTAATTTATTAATAATTTAATCACTGTTTCAGGTTCAAAAAATTGCCAAAATCAACAAACGGAATCATCTCGTAAGTATAAATATTAATTTTTAATTAATTAAATTAGCGAATAAAAAAAAAAAACAATTTTTTGTTTTCAAGTAAATTAACATTTTTTTATTAGAATATTTTATTTTAAAAAATGTATTTATAAAATATTTCTTTTCATTGAATTTATATGTATAAATCTCATTAATAATTATTTAGACCAATTTTAAAACCAAACATTATTTAGAAATAAAATAAAAATGATAAATACAATGTTTTCTTGATTCTAATGCAAGCCTTCTTTTTTGGATTCTTAGTCTTAAAAATTGGGGTGTGTATTAGAATCAAACACAGTCAACTGAATGCAGCTCCCCTCGTGTCATTTTCTCTTCACTCTATTCAGATGTATTATGACATTAATGTGTCTATATTGATGTCATGGTGGCATTTGGTTTTTAATCAATTTGGTGGTCTTTTGAACTATAGTAAATTGAGTGAATAATGTCAATAGACAAATCTTTGAAGCTGTGTTTAAACAGAGTTACGTAATATGCTGAACACCATACAGATATTTCAATGTTATCACATTGAAATATCTGTAGCTATGTAGCTAGTAAATTTTATGCTTGTGCATACCGATATGAAATCCCACTGTTAAAATGTTGATGACATGGTAATTTTGACTGTAAGTTTTTTGTATTGATTGGTCTGTAGATCCTTTATACCTGATAATGGAACCATGAATGAATGTATTTAAAAATGTGGACATTGTGAGTCACTATAAAAATGAAAATAAAACACTTTAAAAAAAAAAGCATTAACTTCTTGCAGTTGCATTCATATAGTGCATGCATTACTGTACATTTGCAAGCTAACTTTTTTTGGGTTCTGACATTTTGAAAATCAAGTGCACATTAGAATTGAGAAAACATGGTAAATAATCTAAAAATAAATTTTTATAGAATATTTTTATGAAATTCTTTCCACAATGCTCCAAAGAAGATCACTTTTTCGAGTACAACAGTCGACCCCCTATAACACTGTTGATTATTCTGTTTTATATGAATTCCATGTTGTTCCATGAATTCACTTAGATTTTACAAATACGTGTCCCGGGCTGTGAACGGCTCACGTATTTGTAAAATCTAAGTGACTCGTACAACATGGAATTCATATAAAACGGAATTATC